CATTCCTAAAAGACTTGCCACTAAAACCAGCACCGTAACACTCTGTTTTGGTTGTAATTAACGCGAAATGTTGATGTTGACTTAAAAAATGTCATCTTAAAGACTTCCGTTGTGATATGAGGGACTGCTTTAAAAGCGGCAAACATGCAGCAGTGAAGGCCAATGAATGATTACTGTTTTCTAACGGGTGAACAATAATGATTAAACAGAGCACTTTTAGCAGAGCGATCACTGTTGCTTTTAATCTGCTTGTGTGCAGCAAATAGGTGACTTGACCAGCCTTCAACACAAACCCTACAGCTTTAACATGAATGGACCAGCTTTGAAATAAGCAAACTAGCTACAGTATGTGAAGACTGCCATGACAGCAAAGAATGGAATTCATAATTTCGACAAAAAGATCAGCAAAAAATACCACTTTCTAATTGGAAATTAAACAATGCTACTAACACAATGAGCCTACAATTACTATCAATGAGTCAACTTTAAATCACCAATGCTTATTCTTTAAATAAAGGCAATTATTGATGATTAGTGGTACTTGCTAAGAAAAGCATCACTACTACGATTGCTCATACTTATTTTCCAGTCCATAACTCATCCCACACGTTTGTGTTACAAACATGAATGACATCTCAAGTCGGGCGCCTTGTTGAGGAGAGGTGTGCTATTTTTCTAAGATATCATATTCTCCTGCCAGGCAATAAAAAATCATGTATCATAGGATCAGAATATCCAATGAACTTGAGGACATAATAACATCCTAGCAATGCCCTAGCAACCATCCAGAACACATTAACAACCATTTAGAACATCCTAGCAACAACCTATATAAAATATATTTTCCTCTATATTAACAATCAATATGTTTAATTACTTATTGCATATTGAAAATATACTGAATAATATAATGTGTTAATACAATATACTGAATAGTACTTAAAGGGGTCATATGATGCTGCTAAAAAGAACATTATTTTGTGTATTTGGTGTAATGACGTGTTTATGCGGTTTAAGGTTCAAAAAACACATTATTTTCCACATACTGTACATTATTGTTTCTCCTCTATGCTCCGCCTTTCTGAAACGCATCGATTTTTACAAAGCTCATCGGTCTGAAAAAGCGAGGTGTTCTCTGATTGGCCGAATTCCTCAAGCGTGTGACGGAAATGTTACGTCCCTTACCATATTGTGATGCCTGCGGCAACCACATGTGACGACCCCGGGCTGGACTCCGCTTCGTCCACGGTGAAAGTCGATCTGGCGATCGACAGCGCGAAGTTGAAGTATTTTCTCAGCGACCAGCACGGATCAGCTCCAGGCATGACGAAGCGATATCGTCCTCTTTTGGAAGGCCAAACAAAGTAGTTTCGCTTTCACAACGAAACACACAGCGCCTTCACGACATGTCGGCGGCGGCAACAATACTACAGTGAGAATAAAAGTTAAGCCTTCTTTCTTTGCGTGAACATTTGGGCGGCGTTATGCAAATCTTCCCAGATAGTGACGTAGACATGTGGGGGTGTGTTAGAACGAGCCGTTTTAGGTAGGCGTGGTTGACTCTTAACTTTTATAAAGAATATCTCTTTGGATTTGAGACTTTAGTCTTTGCAACTTTACAGATCTTCTTTATGCACCAAGAGCTTGTAACACTCCAAAGAGAAAGGAAAAATTGAAATCGCATCATATGACCCCTTTAAGGAATTGCTGCTTTTCATATATTGAAAAATATGTGACAATATATTTATATATTGTAATATGTAATTTTATATTCAATAATATCCTTCAAATATAGATGTACATGTAATAAAATATGGTACTATGTGTGTGTAAATATATTTGAACATATATATTCACATTTATATGGCAACATGTATGTACAATATATGTACTCAGTTATGAGGAAAATATATATTGTGATATATATCCATGTATTTTTATTTACATAAAGAACTCTTTATATAATTTTCCACCCACCATGTTGCCATGACTTTAACAAGACATCCAATTGTCCAAAGATCCTAAATGTGTAATATTCTTTTCAGTAAAGTTTTCAGCTATTGTACTAATACAACCACACGTTTTCATATATCAAATGTGTAATGTGAGATAAAATGTGTTCAGTTTTATGTAAAACCAAGCATTCAATTCTTAATTAATTGTTTTAATAAAGCTATTACATGTAAAAATGTAGTGCAGTTTTTGTCTTCATTGCTACAGTTTATATGTAGGCTATTTTTATATGTATCAATATATAGTTATATATGGACAATGAACATATCGCAGTATATTGAAAAATGTAAGCACTAGTTTCCGATATATATAAACGTATTTAATATATTGCATTATATTTTTTCAGTATATTTCCAGTATATTTTGAAAGGGTAGCTAGCTACAACCCAGAATGCATTAGAAACCATTCAGAAAACCATAGACAGTGTGGCAGTGAGTTTTGCACAACTAGCATAACTTTATTTTTCAGATACATATTGTTTGTTTCACTGATTTGATCTATTTTCCATTTAAAGTCAGAATTAAACCCTAACCTAAATCTATTTATAAGAAAAAGGACTACTCTAATTATTTAGTCTACATAAATATCACTCCTTTCTTGCAATCGATTGCATGCTTGCATTAAGATCTGGCTCCATCCAATCAACAACCAGTGGATTGAACCCAGTCCCTTCCCTACATACTTGTTCATTTTTTAGTAATCCATTCACTTGGATGTACATAACAATAATTGCAAATGAAAATTTAATGAACAGAAAGAAAGAATGAAAGAAAGCTGACTCCACCTCACCAAAGATGGTCAATGGTAATGCAGTTACTGTAAATATAATGTATCAAGTTTGACACAGGAGATAAATGAATAAAGCAGGTAGGCTTAAAGTTCTCTACAATGTGTTGCAAGTAGGCCAGCAAATCATGTAAACAAACCTTCTATTTGCCTAGTGAGAATAAACAGAATTTACTTGTAAGACACTGATTGAATCCAGGCTCATTTATGCCTTGTAGAGCCTGAAGGGGGCTGATAGCTCTACAGATAATATAAGCTTACCGCTTATCAAATCTTTACAGTTAAAGTTTTTTTCACACTCCCTCCATCTACCATTGGCCAGCCAAACAGATTGGTTGAGCTAATGTTTCTGCTGCTAGTTAGGATGCTCAAACCAACAGATTACTGTCTTAAAGGACTGATAGAACAAATATGTAGCTTTTGGGTATACTGGTTGTAAAGGACCATTTTATTACAAAATAGAGTAAAAAAAGAATGAATGTTTAACAAATCTGTTTTTAACAAATCCAATTGTTACAGTACAATATGTACTTATTTTCTTCTGTGGAACACAAACGAAGATTTTTTGAAGAATTAATTTGTTTTTGACACTGTATGGACAGAAAATGCCAATAATTTGCAAAATATCTGCTTTTGTGTTCCACAGAAGAAAGAAATTCATACAGGTTTGGAACAACATGAGGGTGAGTAAAAGATTACTAAAGATTACTATCTCTTTAAAAGAGGAAAATAAAATTGCAGAGTAAAAGTATTCACATTTATGCAGCTTTAAATTATAGATACACTGGGCTGATATGAGTGGGTATGTTTAAGTCAGCATTTCAGATGAGTCATTCCCATTTCATTAAGTGTTTGACATGAGAATATACCTATTTACTAAGTCTTACTTTCAAACAGGGGAACAGACAGTACTTTTCCAAGAACCATTTCCCCTCATGATCCTTGAGCCCCACCCTTCAGAAAGGCACCTGACCACTCTTGTGTTCACTGTGACATTCATTAACTCACAGTAGCAACCTGGCAACCTGTGGGTGATCACTGTTTAGAAGCCAACCATGACATTCAAGACTGAACGCCTCACCTGTTAACATGAGCTACGTTCCCTTAAAATGAGGGAAACCTCATTTGTCAGTGAAATAACCTTTAAGGGAAAACTGAGTCAAATTGTTTACATCTGGCAGGTTTCCTCTGGAGGCCACATCTGGGGCTTGCTTAACGAGCACCGAGAGACTGAGGCTGGAAAACATCAGAGCGCTGCAGCTCAGGCCTTGACAAGCCTATGGTGTTTCAGTCGTGAATGAATCGTTCTTGTTCACTTCCATGTGCTGACTCACATTTTTGTCTCTTCCTTTAGAGGCAAGGGACTGTCTGAGAGGACAGATATAGCATGAATATGTAGCTTTCGAGTACTGGTTGTGATGGACCATTTTATTGGTTGAAACTACTGTAGTCTCCGAGCAACAAATAATGAGACATTTCAATGTGAATGAACTCAATGAGTCGTGAAAGATAGACTAGGCATCTGTTATGTTTATTTACGCTGATAAACTGACTGTTGTTCGCTTAGTTTGTCAAGCGAATATCGATCTCACAAGAGAAAGGTGCAGATGATCTATGAATATGTTGACTTATAACCATCTGTAGTTAAAATAATGTACTTAATGCAACTCTATTGGAGTTGACAAAATGGAGATCAAAATGAATGTTTTTAACGAATCGGTTCAATAATTGATTCAGTGACTTGCTCGCACACACACAAAAAATAAACTTGATGGTCGCCACCTATACTGACATAACGATGCAGCCTGCGGAAAAAGTCGCTAAACAAACCAGCAAACGGATCTTTTGAGTTAAGTGATTCAAAAGATTCGAGTCACTGTAATTAAACAAAATCTCTACCACTAAAACCCAGTCACAGAGACATATTATGGTTCGAGCTAAGCGGATGATAACCATTGAGTCCCCCTCCCTTTGTAATAATTGTCCCAGTAAGATTTGGCAACCTGGCTTATTAACGTCGATTCGCGCCAGCCGAGTCCAGCCGTTGGTCAGACAGGTCTCGTGCGCATTCCCCCTCCCGCCGGCGCGAAAACTGGAGCAGCAGCGTGCCCTCAAGTGATATTCCGTACTACATGTGGTGGCATCGATGTAGCTTTGTGCCACTGCGCCCTGTTTATGCGGAGTTTGAATTATCACTTACCGCTATGGGCGCTAAACCATCGGGGCGCGATGTGCAGGGGCAAAGTGTCTGCCAACGACGCCCGGGGTCCAAGGTAAAGCATACCGTCCGTGTGGTGCCCGCCACCCGTTTCTTGGTATCCATTCCCGTTATGAGCGGGATCCGAGCCAGACCCCCCTCCGGCTCTGTCCGAGTCTGTTCCTCTGGGGGTGTAAAACCCGAAGGGCACCGTGGCGCTGTGATCTATGCCCATCCCCGCCACGGAGCTCACCGAGCGGCTGCGCAGTCCCATCGTGCCACCTGGCCGGTAGTGCCCGAAGTGGGCCGAGGGTGGCACCGCGCTGTCATCCGTCGAGACACCGGGAAAAGCCCCCCGGGGCCGCCCCGCCGTACTCTGCTTGCCCCCCATCCAAAAATATCCGCTAAAAATGGGTGGGGGTGTGGCGGAAAGGGTGTCACGGATCGCCCTGCGGCGCTTCTTGAGCCTCCTTCAAACAAGCGACCAAAACAAGCGCTAGAATCCGCGGTTGTCAAGTCTGACTAAAACAGCTGTGTCTCGCAGACGCAACAGCCCATATTCCTGGTCGAATCATGGACCTAAAGTCTCAATAATCACCTTAGGGAACAAGGGGGTAATAATAAAGCCGTTCGCGCGAGCAAAAACGCAACACGTTCTCCGCTTATAAGCAACTGACAGGACAGCCTGCCCAAAATCACCAGGCACAACAACACATCCGCAGTACTTTGAATGCAAAAGCTCTCTCTTATTCAGAGAAGACTGACTCAAAATACACCAGCCATGATGCCCGTCCAGAGTATACGTCCAGTGGTCCGCTCGTCCTCCCTCCGTCTGCCTGGAGATCGATTCAGCGTGTGCCGCTGTGCCGCTGCCGCCGCCGCCGCTGGGAGACAATAGAGGCGGTTACTGCGCATACGCGGATTAACAGTGGCGAGATGTGTTGTAAACGCGAGCATGGATTTACAATATCTAGCCCAAACAATCAATTATTAAGAAGTGTCCTTTCTTTTTTTCACGCAGACAACGTCTCGCCTCCAACAGCCGCTTGGTGATCTAAAGGAGGACAGAGAGGTGACCCAGTAACGTTGCCATAACGAAGTTAACACAGAGGCGACAGACATGATTTAATTTAGGTACTCCTCATGTTTTCATTCGCAACCATTCAGTCGGAGGCCTAATAAATGCTTGAGTAGAGAAAAATTATAGTCTTTCATCTCCATAATGGGGCCAAAAATGCGAGTGTATTCTGTAAGCAAGCCAAGAAATCTCAGGGCATTTGACAGTTACTGACAGAAGGAAAACCATGGGTTAGATCACAAACTGATATGTGCAAAATTTCCTTCAAAGTACTTTACTGGCATGACTATTTTAGTATCTTGACAACTAATTAATACACACAATATAACAACAGGAAAAAGTAAAACAGTCAAAAAAAAGTCGAAAAAAAATTACACACACACAAATATAAGGCATGCTGCTAGATAACTGCCATATACAATCAAATAATCTGCAATGCAATCAAATAAACTTTCAGTAAGACAACGCATCTGCTGTATTACTACTCATTGCTTGCAGTAAATCAATATATTATGCTTATTCATATTTCTGGATTCATAAATTATATGGACCACATCATTAATTTCATAGTGTGCATTGCATAAAACCTACTTAAATCTTTTAGAGACACAATCTTGTAACCAGGACCATAACAACCATAGACAGTGATGTAAATGATTACTTTTGGTTCACCTGAGGCTTTTTAAAATTAGCATAAAGTACATGATTATTATATTATTTCCTACTGCCTGCCTAAATCACAATACAACAACATTTTAGTCAAAGTGTGTTCAGGGCATTGAGCAATGTCACACTGAGGACCATTTTGAGAATATAATTTATGGGTAATCTTAGGATATGAGCACAATAAATAAAACCATAACTTATGTCCTTAAAGAGATTGAATAAAACAGAGTACTGAGTCTGTTCTGTAAATTTGGCTATGACCTTTATAACGGCAATACTGTCTTTTCTCTTTAAAAGAAGACAGTGGCCTGGTATTGCCTCTTCATGTACTTATTTTTCATATATTTATGCTGTAAATCAAAGTGGATTTGAGTATATAATGTCATTTATATGAAGATGAAAAGCACACAATTGTGTGGCAGTCCAGTTAGAGATAATATATGAACTGAGACCTTTAGAGATATTCTGTTTAAGAACAGAAACTGACTTGTTACAATACAAGAACTTAAAGTTTCATTAAGCGTCTGCTTACATTGTGTTGTAAACAACTTTTGAATTTACAACATACTAATAAGATGTTTTTATTATAAGTTTGTTTAATGACAGGCCACTGGCAAACTATTGTTATGTTTAGATGAGTATCCATGCTATCCAGTTCTAACTGACAGACAGTAATCACCGCAATTACAGACTGTGTCGTGGGTAAATTAAAGAAATATCGACATCTGATGGCCAAAGTGATAAATGCACATGAAAGATTTAGTGATCAGTATATATTTTATCTACACAAACATAATGCAGAAAGTAGTATGTTAATTTAAATACTTTTTTGTTATTGTTATATTGTTTTCTTTTTTCTAAAAAGAATGTTGCTGATTAAAACGATTTTAACATGTTCTAATAAAATATGTACAGCAGCCAACCAAACTACTGTTTTTTTTGTTTGTTTTTTTACTAACCTGGTATACTGACCTGGTATTTTCTCTTAAGTATGTTTTAAAGTATAGGTGTGCTGTAAATCAGAGAATTTGAGATGCTGTCTGTCTTCATCGCTCTGTTATCGACTGCTCGCGTCTGTTCGATGCTCCTCGTGCTCGATGCTCGATTACTTCTCATTTGAAGTTGCGCGCCAAATGCTGCTTTGACAGTGCTGTTGTTTTGACATGTTCCTCTTTATTTTCTATTAGCTCTGTTTGCCCATTTAGAGTTCACTCATAAACAATAAAAATGGACTCGCAATCCTACAAGCCTGTTCCCCCGGGGATCGGAATGGAGGAGAATATGTTTTCTCTCGATGATATTTTACTCGAGAAATCCAGCGAGACACGCGACATACCAGAGGCACTCATTATTGTTTGTTTTAAAACGGTTATAAAAGCATTTAATACCTTTTTGTGTACATTTGTGTACAATTGGTTGAAAGTAAGATAGTTTGTTAAATAAAGGTCAAATTAAAGGTATTGAACTGCTAGGCTATTCAAATGTTATTGTTGTTGAAGATCTGTCAAGAAGTCCTAATCTATGAAAACCATTTGAAAAAAGTGAGTTATGACGTTTAAAATATGTTAAACCAAAGTGAATATTTTTCGTTTAGATTTTCTTTTATAAATGAATACGTTTCATAAAAGTTCTCAATTGTAGCATAATTTCCCACACGATCCACAATTTTGCATCACCTAGGTTTTAACAAAAGTTATTGTACTGTTTTACAAGTGAGACAACAGTGCAAGTGAAGAGTATGAAGAATGATATCGCTTCTGTGCATTTGTTTGTGCGTCATTTGCAAGCAAGCTGTACATTTCTCAAGTTGTGCAAAATTGTGAAAATATTATGTCTGTTTAATATGCCTAAAATGCTAACTATGAAGTTAGCCTTAACAACATAAAAGGACGAGTTGTTTTATTGGCCAAAAGTTAATTTCTGTAACTGTCATCTTCACCACAGAATGTTACAAATACAAATGGCACTGTGGAAATATTCACGACAGAAATGATTTTGTTAACACTAATATTGGAACTGAAAAAGTCAGTTTGGTGTTGATTTTTCCAAAATTTCTGGAATGTTTCCGAAATTTACTGGAAATGTTCCACTTTTTTGCAACCCTAAATATAAGTCCCTGACCACGGCATATTTGTATGGGTGTTTAATGTTAACTTTATATGAGAAACAGGTTCTGTCTTTTGGCACATATGACCCTGGACCACAAAATCAGTCTTAGGTCGCTTAGGTATATTTGTAGCAATAGCCAAAAAAACATTGTATGTTTCAAAATTATCGATTTTTCTTTTATGCCAAAAATCATTAGGATATTAAGTAAAGATCATGTTCCATGAAGATATTTTGTAAATTTCCTACCGTAAATATATCAAAACTTAATTTTTGATTAGCAATATGCATTGCTAAGAACTTCGTTTGGACAGCTTTAAAGGCGATTTTCTCAATATTTTGATTTTTTTGCACCCTCAGATTCCAGATTTTTAAATTGTTGTATCACGGCCAAATATTGTCCTATATTTATACATCATTGTGATGATGTATAAATCTCAATTTTGAAAAATTGACCCTTGTGACACATGTATTGTACGTGATTGATTTATGCTTTCAGGGCACAAAGATGGAGATGCCACTGTGGCTGGCCAAGGGCCTGTATGAAAGGAAGAGGCGAGTGCTGTCCATGGAACTGCCAAAGGTGTATCGTGAGGGTTGGAGAACAGTGTTCGGGGCAGATCCCATTGTTGTAGACTTGCACAAAATGGGGCCATATTACTATGGTTTAGGCTCCCAGATGCTACATTTTGACAGCCCAGAAAACCCAGAAATTGCTAATACCATCCTCCAGGTGAGCATGTCTAGATAGGTAGTCACACAATACACAATTATGGCTGTAAAAAGCATGCAAATTCAAGCTAAATAATATCTATATGTTAACCATACAAGATATGATGAGTTGTTTCATTTACCTTAACCTATTAGTAATGGGTGGTTAGAAGAAAGCTAGCTTGGTGTTATGGTACACAGCTTCACATGCTGAAATCATGTCAGTTAAAGGGGTCATATGATGCGATTTAAATTTTTCCTTTCTCTTTGGAGTGTTACAAGCTCTTGGTGCATAAAGAAGATCTGTCTCAAATCCAAAGAGATATTCTTTATAAAAGTTAAGAGTCAGCCACACCTACCTAAAACGACTCGTTCTA